AAAGAAATAAAATGATGGGTGGCGCTTTCGTCTGCCCCTTAAGTATATAACTAAGTAAGCTTATACTTTTTTGCAATGCCTGTACAGGTTGCTAAGTGTTGAGCACTATGTAAATATAATTTAAAATCCAATTGTACATTCATTATTATTATTATTATTTATTTTTGTATGTACCTAGTGTTAAGTTAGTAAAGTTATGGCTTGTAAACAATTCGACAATTTAGACTGACAATTAAAGATAAACTTCCTGTGGGTTTCTTGCGCCATTTCTTCCCATAGATGTTAGTTCCTTTTGAATCAGTGGTAGTTAATATAGTTTTTCAATAAGTTAAAATATCTAAAATTAAAATAATTTTAAAAATTGGGTGGGGTGCGAATTTGCGTACGCTCCCGGGCCGAGAAAACACACGCTACGCCACTGGCGGTCATATGATGCTTTATCTCTGTTCTGTTTATCTACTACTCACATGGTTGACACACAAAGACACTACATTTTGAATACGTGACAGATGTTAACTTCCGACAATTATTATATTTACACTTTTCTCTTATTACAATATTCCCTTTCATGTCCTACATTGTCAAAATAGATATCTCTTGTTGGCATTGCCTGTTCATGCGCTCGAGTTGTCCTTGCCTTCTTGATGATTAGTTCTTCTAATCGACTAGAAATTGGCCGACCACGTTTGACATAATGATTGTAAATTTGGCACATACATAGAGATACTGCTAGATCTGTTCTAAAGTCAGTTAAATCCATTCCATCCATCGGTTTCTGATTCTCTCCTTTCCTGATCAGTACATTTTTATAGAGCACCCAAGCGTTGATGACCGTCATGTCTGGCAGATGATAAAACAATCGTGTCGTCTATTTGCGAGACTTCATTCTGATGCGGTACCGACGTTAGTAGCTATCCATAAGGTCTACGCCGCCCATATGAGCATTGAACTCTTTCACGACTCTAGGCTCTAGGGCAAACAACTTCAATAGTAGCTTTTTGCTTTTTGTCAAGCCGTGTGATTGATTCTACTGGTTCTGCTCTTACATACGTCGATTGCAATAAAACCAGCTTGTCTTTCGAAGTAGTAGCTGGTCTAAAAAGTAAAGTTACGGCCTATATACGCCCCACTGCTGGGCACAGGCCTCCGCTCATTTCTGAGAGGGTTTTAGGGCAAGGAATTGTCCCCTGCGCTGCCCTAATGCGTGTTGGCGAACTTCACATGTCTTCGAAATATTTTTTTTAGTATTTCTCTGACATGCAGGTTTCTTCATGTTTTCCTTCACCGCCGAGCACGTGGTAAATCAGCACTTAAAATTGCAACTAACAATTTCATTGGTGCCGGCGGGGATCGAACCCGATTTGCTCGCGTACTGTGAAATTTACAGCGAGCGCTAAACATCTGAGCTACCACGGCTCTAATCCATTATAATGACTATCATTTTCAAAGTATGACCCTCTGGAAACATCAGCTCTCATTAGGTACGTGTTTTTTTTTTGGTAACTTTCAGGTCCTTCAGAATCTATTTCTTTGCATAGTACCCAAGCATTTGTATAAAAATTATCTAAGTACACAATATGACTTACATTTCGAGGAACAGATCGCAACAGAAGACTTTGGTGGACATGGAACCTAAATCGGGTTCATTTTGTCATCTTTCAACATGTTGTGCCCCTGAATAGACCTCTGAACTGTACGCGTATCCCATCAAGAAACATGCGACAATAAATTAAAAGCCTACTTATGGGGTTAGTTTGGTAGGTATTGCTTCAATCTTCGTTGCATACATTTGTTCATCTACAGAGTGCAATTTTTCGTGATTAGGATGACTAACGGGAAAGTGATGTACGTTATCAATTATCATACATACTCGTATTTAAAATTTGGCGATTTTTTTCAGAGATTTAGTTATAATATCTGCGATATGTGCAAATCTAGCTGTTGCTGACAATATGATCGCATAGCTGGTAAATGGTCGACAGAAGAAGTATCGGTGAAAGTTGCATTCTTTCACCGATTTTCTTCTTAAAGCTTCTTGTTAGATTCATTTACTATTCGTTAGAGCAAATGATCTTCAAAGAAATAAGGAAAAACTAGTACGGGATGGTAAGTTCCATAATACTCTGTGGGTACCTATTGTGTATATCATTTGAATTTAAAAAAAATTAAAAAATCTTCACGTCATCAACTTATGTTTAAAAATACAAATTTACTACGTTTAGAGATTCATTGTAAGCCAATTAAATTGCTTGTCCTAGGAAACTCCGCTCTTCCAAAAACAGTTTTACAATACACATTTTACGAGTTTAAATAAGATAATCATTGGACATATAATATAGTTATGCAAACTAGAACAAACGCACAAAAAGGGACTTTAGAGATAATTAAATTTTTGTTTCTAAAGTGTTTAGGAATAAATAGGTAAGTTATTTGAAACAAACAACTTTACCGTGTTAAGGTTACTTTGTGAAAATCCATTATAATAAATAATTTATTACTTTTGCAACCTTCCGCTAACTACTTACAATGATGTGTCTTACCTGGATTGAAGAGCATGTTAGTGCATGCAATTGAGGGAGGGCGGGAGGTGCTCTTCAATCCAGGTAAGACACATCATTGTAATTAGTTAGCGGAAGGTTGCAAAAGTAATAAATTATTTATTATAATGGATTTTCGCAAAGTAGCGCCTGATTCTATCAATTACGACAATTAAATTATTTGGATTTTAGTCAGATTTCTTACATGTTTTTGATCAAAAAGCTTGATGATGGTTCCTTTATGCACAATTACTGTTTTGTGGGTTGGTTCTTTATTACAATCTGTTAAGATTTTTCAAGTACATAGATTGCTTTAAATAATTTTAAAATACTTATATTTTAATAACATTTTTATTGACTTGAATATACACACTAGTTTAACACATTAAAATTGTACCTGTAACAACTTATTAAGCAAAGCACTGTTATTGATCTTCATCCTACATAACCAATCGTCATCTTCCACTTCTAACTCAAAATCCAAAACCCATCTATGTCACCTTCAACAGTAACATCTCCCATTAATTGTTTGTAAAAGTCTTGGTCATCTTCAGGAATAAAATGCAACAAGCCTTTTAAGTCATTTAACTTCGCTTCGGGGACTGGCTTACCATTACCCAAAGCGGATCCATTAGTTCTTTGGTTAATGAGACTGTACTTCCTCGTAAATTTTTCTTTAAATTTACTTCTACATAGTCAGCATCTAGATCAGATCTCATAAAAATCCGTAAAAGTCAGTTTTTTAACCATGTATCGTTGTTTTAAGCCGAGATACTTTTGAACCATCAGTGGCTTTTTTCTGTTAGTTATTCTCTTTTCTAGGTTATCACTTGAGAAAAAAAAATCTTCTTTTGTCATTCTATGCACTTGCATTGGTTTATTCTTTTTGCATGTCTGCATTATTCGCATGTAGTCTTCCGGAGTGTATATTCTTTGCTGCAATTTTAGAGCACATTCGATTCGGCCAAAATCGGTATCATTAGGCAGGAAACTGTGGCGGATTTCAAGAAGCGTAGCGTGATTGATAAAAAATGTAATAAACAAATCAAACTAATTTATTAATTCGAGACTTCAATCGTTGGAAGATATCCACACATTTGACCACTTCACCGTCTGGTAAACTGTATGTTCCGCCAGTCTGTGTGACGGGGTTCATTTTGCATATTACATCTGCAAAAGGAATTTCCCTTTTTATCTGAGTAAAAAGGGATTTCCCTCTACTTGTAGTCTAATCAGCTTCAGTTTTCTTTTAGAGGTTTCCAAACATGTTACTATAAAGTTTAGTTTAGTTCCGAAATAGTGTCCTCCACACTGCATAGCAACATAAAAATTACTTTTTATCCACATATTTAAAAACAATTGAAATTTTTAAAATAGCCACTCTTAAAAATTTAATTTTTTTTCTTATAGTAATCCTATATTGTGGTATATCATATTAAAGCCCTATTCAATAGCTTTAAAATGAGACCACTGCCAGGTTTATATCATCAATTTTCATCAGTTTATATGCATCCAAAGGGGTTAAAACGAAGTTTTTTCATAAAAATTCAAATCTTTAAAAATTCTTGTTACTTATATATCTTCTATGTACTATAATTGTGCTACATAACTGACATTCGGTATTTTTTCATAAGTCTATGATATATTGCTGCATAAAAAATCATGAAAATCTGAGACTTCAATTCTGAAAATCCAAAATTGTGTTTAGACATGGAATGACCCTTCTTTGTTTTACAAAATTTAATTACCTCTAAGGAACTAAGTATCTTGGTTATTTTATAAGCGGTTTATTTGTTATACAAAATGGTTCCTTTTAGCAAGGAAAAGACAAACATAATTTTGTCGGTTTCTTTTTATAAGGGAACCACGTGGCTTGCTTGTATTTTGCGTATTGAAAAACCTGAAGATCTATATGTACTAAGCGGCATAGGTCCGTTAAAAAGACTATCTAGGGTTGGATACTCACATTAATGAAAGCTGCCAAGGAGCTTTTATTAATGTGAGTAAAAACTATCTCAAGCAGCTAGGATCTCTTTTGAGTATATGAAAGTTGATTCGTAGATTCTGTTGGTACCAATAACTCAATTTCACCAGTCTTTTGGGTTGGTTCTAGTTTGCATCTGTCCAATTAAAAAAAAGGCAATTATTACTCTTGTGATTGAAAGAGAAAATTTAAGTATGTATGTGAGGAACGTCAGTATGCGTGTAAACTGACTGCCAATTAGCATTAGCATTTAAATTAAAATTAATTTATCAACATATATTCTTGATAAACTAATTTTAATTTAAATGCTAAAAACCTCAAGGTTTAATTTTTCAGTTTCCATACTAAATTACGATACCTACTGAATAATGTCATACTGAATAATAAGCCTTGTAAAATGATGAATGCAAAGGAAAGAGTAATAATATTATAGATTTACCAATTTATTTCTTAATATTAAAAACAATCACACAAGCTATTTAGAAAGCGTATCTAGTTCTAATATCCTCAAGCTTTTTGGATACTTCAGCAGGCGTTCGTTCAAGGTCGCCCGCAATCGCCTTCTGTTTTGCGGGTTCTAGAGAATTGAACTGTTCGCAGAGATCACCATCTATGACATTCTGCAACAATCAAAATTTATACATATTTATTATATTGCATTTAGACGCAAATACAAAAAAATATAATAAAAATCCTGTATAAACACTAAATACAAGTACAATATTGATGTTTGTTCGTTCCAAATACTACAGATATGCAGATTGAGCTGCATTTCCGACTCTCAGGAATGGCACCGCACGGTACAGCGCGCAGTCGCCATAACGGCAAACAAACGCGCCGCTGCCTTGCGAAGCTTCTATACCAACAGTGTAACACAAAAGCCCTCTATATAGTGGGTATTTGTTGACTTACTGTGGATAGCTAATTTAACCAAAGATATTTCAAACGTATAGATAGCTTGTATAAGTACAATTTAGTATTCAATTCGTTTTAAGGTCGTAACAGATAGAGATATAAAATTGATAAACTGACTATGCGAATTGGTGTAAAGGGATTAAACAAAATCAATATAGAACATGCCAAAACATGTTAAGCAGCACGAAATATTTTTTTTTCGAGACTCAGAACTGCATCTCTATACTTTTCAAATATTTACTGATTTTGACGTCTTTTTATGCTATTTTATTTAAACATATTACATAGTTAATTTAAACCTACCTTCACTGGGTAATAGTAACTTCTAAAGGATAAATGATCTCGACCACACAGTGGAGAATTTTCACTCCTCATGTGCATTTCCAAGTGTTGGAAGAAGTCATGGTCTTCTCTAGAGGTAAACGGAAGTAAGACTCCTAGAGATCCGCTAATTGTTGCATAAAGTAGTGCTTCAGATCCTCCTGGTATTAATGTAGCCCTTTGTAAGGATGTTACAGTTTCTCCAACATGAAAATTAACTACGATTTCACCCTTTTGTGATGCTCCATTCAGCAAACCTATATAAAAATATATTTTAGTATTGTTGAAAAACGTAATTTACGTGAGCAATACATTTATTTTTTTCAGCTGATATAATAAAATCATTAATTTTCATTAGTCTAGCATGTGTTAATTAATGGTATCATCATAAATATTTCCATTTTAAAGTGAGAATTGAAGTCATATTATTACAGTAAGATTAATAAAGGAAAACATACACTTTTTGATTATATGAATATAATATACTTAAAAATTATAAACAATTGAGCAATAAATAAACTTTCTTTACCTCTATCCCACAGAGCCTTATTTCCAGTGGGATCTTCATCTACATCGTCACTTACAGAATGAGGTAATCTTATCACAGCTATATTGCCAAACTTATCAGACATTGCTACTGTATCATAATCTAATATGCAAGTGTTTGTTATCCATCTAGGGTTAGTATCATCAGCAAATATTATTAATTGATTTTCTCTTTTCTTGTACTTAACACAAAATACTGATTCTTGTACGTCTGATACAAACATTCTCTGTCCAATGGTTTTAATGTCTGCAATAAGATTTGGAATGTGTCTATTTTCACATTTGCGCAATAATTTCCGCCGTCCTATATCATACATTCTTAGCATGCGACCCACCCCAGCTAAAAGTTTCCCATTGAAAGCCGCTAAAGCCCCAGGATATTCATCGATGGGGGTTTTATGAACTAGCTCCAATTTCCCAGTATTGCTAAGTATCTGAAACATAACAATTTGAAATTAGCATTTTGAAATCCTGTAAAATGATCTATAATAGAAGAAATATTACTGTTCAAATTACCTTGTACACATGTAAACTGCCTTCCGTACAAGATCTTGGTGAAAGGATCATGTCTTTTGCAACTCCTACTACTAAATGCGGTTGTGCGTGTTCGGCGTGTGCCGACCAACGTATGATACAAAGTGAGACAGCAGCTTCATTCTGTTCCAAAGGCAGCTTAAATAAAGTACTTGGTTGACCACCACTAACTCCCATATCCATTACACGGATTTGTGATGCCCACATACCTGACAAAAATAAATTTAAACCATTATAAAACGTTAGAACATAAGAGAATCTCATCTTATTTCATTCTATAGGTGTCATATCACCACCACAAGGTATAAAGGTAAGAGTATTCTGCCAGCTTGTGAATAGTTTGAGAATTTTCCAGGTTTTCCTTTAAACAAGAAGTCCCATGACATGGGAATATATACATAAGAAAATAGCTATTTACTAGATATTAGACTGTATCCAATGCTTGAATCAAATGACTTACATAAGTCATCTGGGATTAACGCAAGGATTTTATATTGCCACACTCGATTAGAGCTAGCATGTTCAGAGACATAATCTGCTCTTGCCCAGAGAATGTGGCAAAATTTCAATAAATTTAGATGTAGAAATACGAACCTGCACCAGCTTTTGGTGAAGAAAAAATATTCTCAGGCAAGACATCAGACAGAAAAGCATCTGCCATTTCATTTGCTAATTGTTGTTCTTCTGGACCACCTCCAGCAGCTGCTTCTCTCATTTCTTGCGCCATTTGGATTCTTAAATGAAGGAAGGATATTTGTGTATGTAATATAAGAATCACACTAAATGGTTTATACATTTGTATTAAATAAATCAGTACTGCAGGAATATCAACAATAAAATTCAGATTATGTGTGTGTTAATTGTCATCACAATAATACTTTTGGAATATAATAAATACTTTATAAGAAAATAAAAAACTAAAAGTTACAGCCTATATACGTCCCACTGCTGGACACAGGCTTCTCCTCATTTCTGAGAGGATTTTAGGGCAAGGAAGTATCCGCCTCACTGCCTCAATGCGTGTTGGTGAACTTTGAAATACATTTTTTCTTTATTTGTCAGGCATGCAGGTTTTTTAAACAATGTTTTCCTTTACCGCCGAGCACGTGGTAAATCCTAAAACTCGGGATGCTCAGGTACTGTGATATTCACAGTGAACGTTAAGCGTCTGAGCTACCACAGCTCTTAATTTGTTAATAATTTACAATCTGAAACAATTACCTTCTTTGCTTCTTCATTTCTTCTGTGTAGGAATTGTGATCAGTCTCCAGAACAATAATGTTATTATTGTCAGAATTAATAACAAATTTTCGTGGTGTATATTCTAATGGCAAGTATGTCTGGTTAAATACTGCTCCTAGTTTTTCTAATGCAAGAATTCTCAATGTGTTCGAAGAAATTGCCACAATACCCTCAGCACATTGTTCTATAAAAAGAAAACACTATTGTAGTTTGGTTTCATATTTATTAGTATACAGATTTTATCACGTAATCGAAATTTTGTCCACGGCATGGTTTTGTCGCCTTCATAGTCTGAACGACTCCAGCATGGCTATGGAATATGCCGAGTGCCAATCTCAACCGCAAGTGGGAGTTTGACATGATCTGCGACGTTGTGGGCCCATCACTGCATTGACAGCTACGCACCACTCTCACATGGTAACACCCTAAGGCATTGCCATGCAAATACGTCGATTAATAATAAAAATTTTAATCTAATTTTTGAACTTAAGGGGAAATATAATCTCAAATGGCTTAGCAAGATCCTTCATTATGCCGAAAATATTGCAGCATTAATTTTGAAATAAATATATGGTAAAGTTGAGGATTAATGTTAAGGATTAATGTTAGACGAAAACACGATTTCGTAAAATTTTCTCGATAGAAAAAAAAACCAAAGTTACCTCCAAAATAAACAATAAACCGCTGTTATTCATAAAATACTTTAAATAAGATCATGAAATCTTGCATATTAACTATAAAGCAGTGCTTATGTTATTTTACTTTTTTTAAAATACCATTATTTTCACTGTAAAAAGAAATTACCTAAACTATCGGCCTTTTGAAGCGTGATTCCTGCCGCACAGTCACTTCGCTTCGGCCTTTGAATGGGGAGGTTGTGTCGCTTACGATCAGAATATACATTACGTAACAGGACGACGTAAAATTAAAATGGGAAATAACCGTAATGAAAATAAGAAGCGACTGGCTTGGCGTTAAGAAACAGGCATAAATATGATAAACCTAATGAAATAAGTGTCATACGACGCGCGGACAAGTGGGCACGAAATTAGAATTTGAGCTGACTTACTCTATCCCCTTAAGCTTCACTATGATTGAAAATATTCTTCAAAACAATTCCCAAAAATTAAATAAAAATACATAAAATTAATAGAGTTACCTGAGCTGAATCCTGCAGCATATTCTAAACACTCGTATGAAAGAGGTGTTAAATGGAAACGATTTTGGTAATGATATCCCAACCAAGTTCTCGAGGACACAGCAAGTACAGCTTCTGTTGCCTGCACTCTCACTTTAAATAACTTTACTGGTCTTGAACCCAAATATCTAGAGAATAAAAATGTGTTTGTAATATAATGATTTTAAAGAAGCAGTAAAACAAATGTTTATTGTACATAAACCTCAGATCTGGTTAATTAATCGTCAATGTATTTCAGATGAAACACGGAGCGAAAAGGTAGTCATCATTGGTAGCCCAATTAAAAAAAAAAACATTTTACAATATACATACACAAGTTACCTGGTTCTAGTGTCTGCTAGGTCACCACTCACAGAGTCCAATGTAGTTCTAAGGAGTACTCCATTGCTTAAACCTATATTTAGGTGTAGTGCAGATTTGGCACCAGATTCAAATGGTTGTTCAACAATGCACAAGGATTCTGCACCGGCTGGTAAGGCTTGCATTGAGCGAGGTGCCAAACAATCCTGTGGTGAAAATGTATCATGAAGTGTGTATTTCATTTAAATGTACATATTTCTTAAAATTTTTAGAATATTCAGATGTTTAAAGAATAACGCATTTTTAGGTTTTTGTAATCAATAGTACTCAGTGGTGTCCTGGTATCATCACTTTGTCACATGTTCAGTATGAAATTTTGCAGCATAAATACAACTTACCGATGGATCCAAAGAAATAATTCTGACAGTGTTATCATTTAATCCCACAGCTAAAAACCAAGCCCGTTGTTCACCAGTTGCAACTGAACCCAGTGCCATACATGAAACATCTGATGATAGCTTCTTCCTTTCAGTGTATTCATTTAGCTGCCCAGTCTGTAATAAGCATTTAGTTATTGACAATTACTGTATTACAGATTTTGATTCAAAGCAATTGGCTATAGTAAATAATTTGAATTGTCCACAGCATGGTTTTGCCGCCTTCATAGTCTGAACGACTCCAGCATGGCTATGGAATATGCTGAGTGCCAATCTCAACCACAAGTGGGAGTTTGACATGATCTGCGACGTTGTGGGCCCATCACTGCATTGGCAGCTACGCGCCACTCTCACATTGCAACGCCCAAAGGAATTGCAATGCAAACACGTCGGTAGTAATTATGAAAAGTATTGTACTAACCGGGTCCATCTCGAAATACACAAGTTCACCACCAGTCAAAGCTATCACAACTTGTCTCTGGTTTACAGCACATTTTACTATGGATTTCTTTCCTGGTGCTTTCCATTCATTGACACGTTTATCTGCTCTTATATGTCTTATACCATCAGGGTAAACTTGTACCAGGGCATCATTACCCAATGCATGACAGCTAAGTGTCGGTGTTGTACCCAAGAAACCAGAGTCAGTTACTTCTTCAACAGTTTCACCAATAGACAGCACAAGTGTAGCATTTACGAATGATACAATGATGTAAGAATCATATTCCTCTGTAACCAAAGAAAGGAGTAAAGATAAGATATAGAAGGCAATATAAGGTTGAGAATAATAGCTCTTCCCATTGTGATGGCAGCCTCCAGTGAAGTAAATGGAGTTTCTGATGCCTACCTTTGTGTTATCGATGAGACCATCTCTATTTGTTCATCCCCAGGAGAAGATTCTGAAAAGAAAAACCACTGGTGTTTATGTATGCACAAACAACCAGGGTTTTATTAGTAACTTGTTGATAAAAAGGAGCACTCATAAGTGGTTATTGTGACGTCACAGTATATCAGTAACACGGACCAAAATTTATAATCATTTTGCTCCTTTTAGTTAGTTTATAGTGAATTTAATATTTTTTCTTATTTTTATTATTCAGCTTGTAGTGGTGGCCGTAAGAATTTACTACCCCATATCATATATACATACTATGGCTGTTGTAAATGGCGACAGAGAAATGAAACAATTAATTGTCAGCAGTATTTTCCAAACTTAAAATAATAAAAATCTGCAGTTGCTAAGCAGCATGGCAACTATGGCAAATTTCCTCTAGCCGCTCGCTTGCTTCTGGCAATGATAGTTTCCAATACGAAAACTCTCTTGGCAGTGATTGTTTCCAAAAATTATTTTTTATTAAATGATGGCAAACTATTTTAAAGACCTTACTTATAGATTATCTAATAACCAAGACGCCAGTTTGCAACATCATACAACAAAATTTTTTGTACAATTATAAAGTAAAATTTATAGTCACCATTTATAGTGGTGAATTGTGCAATGGCGAGTAGTTTCTTGTTTTTGAAGGTTTTTTACCACAATCGTTATTATGTTTCTTGTTCAATAGTATAAATAACTATTTTAATCTAGCCATCATGCAAACCTTTTAACTATTTCACATTGTTCATCTGAAATATGCTCACAACCTTAACTTTAGTCTTATATAAAATATTTATTGTATTGTATTATACACACAACTGTCAAAATAAAAGTCACTATTTGTTATGGTCTACACAAAACATAAAATTATGCTAGGTTACTAGCATTGATTGTAAATCAGGTTTGTAATGAGAGCAAACCTACACAGTGTAAAGTGTCTAATTTCATGTTTTTTCGCAATCGAAAGCAAGCAAGCAGCTAGTGGCAATGTATGTGGAAGGTCTATGTTTAACAGTGAACTTTTGATTGGCTATAATGATATATTGTATTTTTATATTAAACCCTTATTTATATGCTTTCACCAGCGTATTTTTAAGACTTGTTCCTATTTCTAAAATTCCAGTTAAGTAAAAAAAACTTACCATCTTTATGTCGCTTGACAGTCCATACAGCATTAGGAGAACCAGGCAATTCAGAAACGGCCATTTCAGCCACTTCTAAACCGTGCCTTAAAGCTCTTATAGACGATCGAGGACCTCTACCACATGCTAAATAAACTTGAGGTGTATCTTCCCCAGTCAAATCAGCAACACGGCAGGCTAAAAATATAAATTAGAAATAAAACTTTTTATGCAAGGAAACTTGTCAGTTTACTGTGATAAATATAATGTAATACATAATTACAATAAAAATGGGACTAATTCACTTTTCTAACTTAAAAAAATAAAATATTGACTGCAATATTGAATTTAAAATATAAATTATTATTTGGAGAAACAAAACTCCATTTAATTAGTTATATTATTTATCCATGTATAGGGCCTTATAAGTTGGTTGCCTTTTTGACTATAACTTCAGAAAGTGGTGGCAAAGTGGTCATTTAAATTTAATCACATTGTATAAAACATTAAAATACTTGCCTAATATAGGAGAAAGCGAATCCAATTCATCAACTAACACCAAATTTCGGAGAGGTCTTGGAGCAAAGAAGAAAGTATCACCTTCTTCTAAGGGCATTGCAGAACTAAATTCAGGCTCATCATCTTCATCACCCAAGTGAGCAATTTGATACAAGTAGCTAAAATAAATATAAATATGGGACATGTTGTATACCATCATTGTTATTACAGCCATTCATATTATGTATATAGTAATTGATAAGTATTTGTGTATATCTCTAATCAGTGTGCACTACCCCATAGTTAAGGTAGGACCTTGGTTCAGAGATTGATTTCTCTAGCATGATTTAAAATATGAGAATAGGAAAGTCCCATGCTCAAATGTAAACATGCAAATTAAAGTAATTAATACTTACTGGTTTCCAAATTCACAGGCCACAAAAAGAAATCCAGTTTTCAAAACACACATAGATGATGCAACAGGCACTGTGTCAAAGTATTTGAGTTTAATTTCTGTCACCATGTCCTCGTCAGTTTCAATTGTAATTTTGAAAATATCACCTTGTTCAGTTTGAGCCAAAAAGAAAAACATTGATTTTGTTTTATGTGTAGCTGAGCACACAAATATCATCCCTCTTTCAGGATCATCCAAATCATTACGCCGCCTAGGTATTGGGCAACGGATATCATGTTGGTCACCCAGATTTTTGTATGTCAAATAGTTTTCTGAACATATGAGAACTCCAGAAGGTCCGTCATTACCACCAGGTACTGTTATGAGAAAATTTGCATGTTCTTCTAAAGGTTCAGAATATTTTCTTACTACATGGTTTAAACCCAAATCCAATTCATAGAAAGTTAAAGTTTGTTGAGTTTTTTGTGCAGCTTCACCTGTAAATGAGGCAATTTATTTAGAAAATTCATAATACTATACATACAAAACAAGATTCAAAGTTTTACATTCATACAAATGAGGATTTGGCGTCACTGTCAGTCAGAAACACGGACCTCAAAATAATCATACTATAAATATTGTATCATGACACATTATTTAAACTTTGTTTTTATAGAATAAGGGTGAGCCTTGGTAGCTCAGATGGTTAACGCTCGCTGTAACAGAACACAAGTAACCTGGGTTCAATCCCTGCCGGCACCAAGGAAATTGTTAATTGCAATTTTAAGTACTGATTTACCACATGCAGTGAAGCAAACATCTTGCATGTCTGAAGAATAAGAAAAAAAAAATATTTCGAAGACATGTGAAGTTCACTAACATACATTGGGGCAGCGCAGCGGACACTTCCTTGCCCTAAACCCTCTCAGAAATGAGGGGAGGCCTGTGCCCAGCATGGGATGTATATAGATTGTAGGTGTAACTTTACTTTTTTTTTATAGAATAAGGTTGACATACTACTCACACACAGTTCACCAAGTGGATTGGCCCATAGTCCGTTAGAGCTCATGGCCATACTCTTATTCAATATTATAAAATTACCTACAGCTGGCTCAGGACGGTATCAAATTCGATACCAAATACTGCCATAAGAAAAAATACTTTTTTGTTATAAACGAAACCAAAGACAATATGCAATGAATAATATAGTAAAAGGCAAAGATATGCTCTTTTACTTTAAACCATAACCTGGCAATGTTTCCTAAAAAAAAAAAAATCACTCTGAACTCTTGGCGTTCCACGTGTCGCATTGCAGAAGGTGCTCAGTTTTATTTATAGAATTTTATTATATTTGTGTCTGGACTAAAAACGAAAGTATTATACTTTTTTGTATTCCTTGTAATATAGTAAACACGTAGATATTATATAATTTGTGGCATAAAAGTGAAAAGTAAGTGCCAAAAATGTGTTATTTTCCAATTCTCATTTATTTTTAGTGTAAAATGTAACTAAAAAATAGTTTTATAACATATTTCAAATAACTTGACGTTGTATTTATTTCAAATTCACACAAAAATATATTTGATATATTGTTCATAATGTCATACAGATAAAAGCTACAACCATAAAATAACTGCAGCATAGCTCTATTACGGAGAATGTGTAAATTATAAAAAGAAAATATGTAACTTAATATTTTAATTAAACTTATGAACTGGTACATTTCATAATTTTCTTCACCTAAACCTTCATTGCAACTGCTGAAAAAATAGGGTGGAATGGATAAAAAAAAAGTATGGCGTTATAAAATATTCAAAGTAATACTTACCAGTGGGATCAGAGTCGGCTTCTTCATAATCAATTTCTAAACAGGCAAACATTGGATTTTCAAAACCTACATCTACACCCACCATGTGGTAAACTAATGTGTTTGATTTATGGGCTTCTAGAGGCGAGGAAATTGTCAATCTTGCCTCAGCATCCCTATTGAGAATGTAAACCAGCTTTTGTTTTTCAATTGCACCTAAAAAGAAAGATTAGGCCTTAATAGCAATAAAAAATTACACATACATCACTTTTTTACTTGTGTTATATGAATTGATGTGTTTTCTGCCCGTAAATATATAATATCAAATTATGTTATCAGTGATGAAACAGATTTAAGTTGACCTACATCAGGACATTTATGATGTATGTCAAAATGAGGATGTTCAAGGTCTTGGATCCAGGATCAGTTAATGAAATTGGTCTAACAAAAATGTGAATGTTAATGTTATAAAACCAAAGCCTTCAAATACCATCAATATAACAGTACTATAAATGTGAGAAAACACCTATGTCTAGCTTGAATCCTGTACTTGTATTGCATTATTTCACAAATAAACTAGTACCATCCCCTCATATATACGTCTATTTTCAAGGCTGCAGTACACTACTCGCGAAGTTCCTCGCCCGAAGTATTCTCCGAGGTCAGCCGAGGTACGAGGAGCCTCTGAACACACTCGCTCAACTTCGTGATTCGGAGATGGAGGACGTACAAGTGGCAGCTGTGTTTGCTTTGTGCACTGTTGCGTATTTTAACTATGTACATATATTGGATGCAAAAAAAGAAATTATTTCCAGGGTACCATATTACCGTTTGCCCCTGGAGCAACCTCAAAAGCAATAGTGTTTGCTCTTGTGACATTCATTTTTGGCTTAAGCAAATTGTAACGAATTAAACGTTTTTAAATTAAACATCACAACTAACTTTGTAGGAATAAGCCGAGTAATGTACAGGGTCACTCCACGCTCGAAACTTCGGTCTTTTGACTTGGGAGGAAAAAACCGACAACGATCGGAAGTCACCCGAGGCAAGGCAAAGTTGCCCGAAGTGAAGCGAAGTGTCCTTGTATGCACTCGTCTTTGCCCAACTTCATTCAACTTTGCGAGCAGTACTGCAGGCATTATGTTTAATAGTAAGAGCATTTAGTTGAATAACCATTACCCTCCAATATCTCACACTTTAAGCTGTAAAGTGAAATTACAACTCTTATACATCCAACTGTCAGGCACAGGTCTCCTCTTATATTGGTGCTAGGATGTTTTCTGAGCATTCGAGAAATTTCAAATTCATCCGAGAAAGTTGCAATACTGCATTGGTGCTGACAGGGATTAAATCCAGGTCACTCACATATTTTCTAATGCTGCAGCTAGCACTCAATCTTAGAGCTACCATGACTCTCTTTATTTGTTGGTTATTGTGTAACTACTAAAGAATAAAAAGATCAAACCTAATACCAGTAAGTATTCTCTACCAGTCAAATCCATAGTTTTCAGTAGATTTGCAACAAATAGTATATTCTGCCAATGCAAAATACTGAATATTTTGCAGGCTTCCCGATCGAATAGCCTAATACTAGTCAAAAGTAATCGATCGGAAATAAAGTACTGTTTTTTATTCACTCTTTTCTCGGAAGCTGGGATTGTCTACGAGAAGGAAATTAGTAAACTATGTTGTGAAAATGCATAAAAATTTGTCTTTCTGTACTATAATCTTCCTCTATAATTTTATGTCATAAAATATAATTTTTCTTTTACCAATTAATTATCTGACTACAACAAAACATTTTACTAAAGTATTCAGTATTTGGCTGAATTGTATCCAGATATACAGTACTCAACCAATTAGAAAAATAGCCAAATAGGCCAAATAATAAAAATTTGTTGCAAGTCTAGTTTTCTGTACTAATTTTTATGTTTGGCAAACTTGTCAATATTAGGCAAGTGCATGGCACTGTTGGATATGTATGCACATATACAGAGAAGCTTACAGGTGTTATAGATGATCACTTTAAACTGTCAGTTTTGACTAACCAAGTTTTAACTGACAGTGAAAACAGTGTGTGTACGAGGAAAACTGTCGGTTATTTTGTCATCAGTTAAAACTCATGATATATTATTGTTGATACATGTTTTTTAACCCTTAAACCCTACCCGGGGGTCCAGCAAACCCCAGAGGTTGAATATTTGTAGATATTTTTGCAATAACGAAACGCAATATTGTGCCACTCGAGCTAATCTTTAATTACGTCGTCGGCCATCTTTTCACTAGTCTAGCGTCAACGCTTACACAGTTTAGACGGAATTATAGCTATTTATGGGTCTGTCAGACCCCAGGGTAGTAATAATGTAGTATTTTGTCATTTCTTTTTGTCGATAAATTGGTGAATGCAGTTATTTTTGATACAATATTTTAAAGGGTAAGTTTAATATTTGATGTATTTATTACAATAACAATAGTGTTTTTTTCTTTAGGAACGTATATGAACAAATCTAGCAATTTTGTTGTTTCGTTTTAACAGTTTATTCAATATTGTGTTTTATGCCATTGTTTTAGTTTTAACGATCAAAATTGCGTAAGATGGACCTACAGATCACTCAGTGGTTGCATGAAGACCAATCAGAAGATGAAGAGGCATGTGAAGTCGCTGTTCCTGACCTTGAAAATGATGTTGACGAAGACGGAATTATTGAAGACTTTCGAGCAGAACATCCAGATGATGATACAGAAAATTCTTCATCGGTAGATGACACTCCTCTGAGTAATTACAGTTCAGGTAATTTTCTACGTGTCTTACCTGTCCCTAATAATCTGAAGGGCAAGGACGGGTTTAGGTGGACAGGTGAAAAACCAGCAAAGTCTAGAGTCCCACGAAGAAATATTTTGTTTCATCCTCCTGGACCTAAAGCTGCAGCTCGTGAAATAAAAACAGAGCTGGAAGCATGGAGTATTTTTTTTCTGATGAAAAGCTTGAAGAAATTGTAAGAAATACAAATGCTGAAATTGGTAAACAGAGAGAAAAATATAAACGAGACAGACCTGTACAGAATACGGAAGACGAAAACGCGGACGCATCGAGTTCCACAAAAATACGTCCTTCTTTTGCTAAGGATGCAAGTGTGGTGGAAATGAAGGCTTTATTTGGACTTTACTACTTAGCAGGGGTACTCAACATGAATCACGTCACCACCAAGGAATTGTTTGACAAGAACTCAGGTGTTGGCTATTTTCGTGCCACCATGAGCCAAGCCAGATTTGAGTTTCTGACAAACTGTCTGCGTTTTGACGACCGGTCTACCAGAGAAGAACGCCAGCAAAATGATAGATTAGCACCAATTAGAAACATTTTTGATCACATTGTCAAAGTTTCGAGTGAAGTATATAGCCCTTCAGATTGCTGTACATTAGACGAAATGTTATTGGGCTTTAGAGGTAGATGTATCTTCAAAATGTACATTCCGAGTAAACCAGATAAATATGGTATAAAAATTTTGATGACTTGCGATGCTAAAACTGCCTATATGTTAGATGCTTTTGTATATTTGGGCAAAGGCTCGTGCCCTACAAATGTAGCAGCTGCTCATTTCTTTACTTTGAAATTGACTGAAACAATTCATGGCACAAACCGCAACCTCACTTGTGATAATTGGTTCACGTCAATACCGGCAGCAAAAGAATTGTTGCAAAAGCAGGTGACCCTTGTAGGTACACTACGTAGAAACAAGAGAGAAATTCCACCTTCTTTTCTTGAGCTAAAAGATCGCGATCGCAACACGGCAAAGTTTGCCTTTACAGGAGAACTTACGCTTTTGTCTTACTGCCCCCCAAAATCCAAACATAAAAAAATGTCCCCATGTTATCAACTATGCATGCAACAGCAGATCCTGATGCAACGATTGAAGTACCAGAGATGATAGAGTTTTATAATAAGACTAAATGCGGAGTCGATTTGATGGATCAGCTATGCCACAAGTACAGCGTATCTAGGAGATCAAAAAGGTGGCCAATGGCAATTTTTTTGGCCTTCTGAATATAGTAGGTGTTAATTCATATGTCCTGCTAAAAATGGCCACAAAAAGAGTTACAAAAAGACGTCATTTCTTGAAAAAACTTGCCATAGATCTGATCACCCCTCAAATGGAAGAACGATTAACATGGCCCTCTTTGCCCATGAATCTTCAAGTTCTCTTAGGTGGAAACTTGCAAAAGAAGCGGCCATTGCAAGAACCAAGTTCTGATCCCACTGCTAAAAAAAGATGTGCAATGTGCCCAAGGGGTAAGGATCGAAAAACCAAGGTCACCTGTGGCATGTGCCAAAAACCTCTTTGCGGTGAACATACTGAGGCCATGTGCCAAGAATGTGTTACCAAAAACCATTAACAATTTTTTTGTATTGTCTAATAAGCAGATTATTATTATAAATAATAATTGTAATTAAATTGTTTTTTATTTTTTAAGTATGAATTTTTATATAGTGGGGTCCTTAAAACCCCTGGGTAGCAATAGTGTTTCTCCTAGAATGGGTAGGGTTTAAGGGTTAACTGAAATTACAGAACTGATCAGTTAAAACTGTGTAAGTAGGTGGTGTTACTCTTACTAGCTACAACTACAACATCTGAGGGAGGACTGGGAGTCAAAGCGCATAAAGTAATGTCTACAAGTTATAAGTGCTTAGTTTTAAGCATCTCAACTCAGTAAAACAATGAAAATTTTTATAGTTAAATGTGTTTGTAAACTCGTTAATGTTTGCCTTACCTATCATTACAGCTCTGCCTTTAGGATCTATGGCTAGATATTGACCAGGTACTATTCTACGGCAGCCAGATTTGCCAAATGTTTCTTGATGAACCTTTTCTAGAATGTTCTTAGCAGGTATATACTCCAGTATAACGATTCTTCCAGAATCTGAACCTATTACAATGTAATCTGCAATAGATATTAATAAATCACAATATTATATCTCCAAACAATTATTTAATCCTAGATCACTAACCTTCGTCGAAACGACGACGCGGACTCAAAAAAAGTGGTATAAATTTTGAGTGCGTCGTCGTAAGCATTGCAGATTCCGGCTAATCTCAGTTGACCCAAGGCTCCCGCGACACACGAGTGTGTTTTTTGTGTAGGGGCCCTGTGTGCGCCATTCCAGCCACCATGAATCGTCGAATCGACGAAGGTTAGTATTAACGTTATTCTTTCAAAGTCACATTTAATTATTTTTTTTGGTGTTATAATTATTTCGGTGTTTTGTAAACTTTGTACTTAATTTGCCTACATTAAAATAAGAACTTACATTATTTTTATATTTGAATATATTTTTATTTTAGATACTATTAGTCAGCTGTTATTAGATGATAATAGTGACGAAGAAAACTGCTCTAAGAGTGAGATAGAAGACCACCTTGAGGCTGATCCGGCTTATGAAACAGATGGTAAGGAAGAAATTTTTCTGTGATAGAACAACCACCTTTAACCGAAGACATCCAGGCAAGTATAAAGCCCCAAAAGGCAATATTCCTACTGTCAACTTGTGATAAGGTAGGGACAATTGATGAGTTAACCAAAAAACCCACGATGGTTGAGTTTTACAATCAAACTAAGGGCGGAGTAGCATCAAAAATTAGTCGAGCCACACATGCAAAAAAGATTACAAACTCCGACACTTCAAACGGGACTGCGGGACTATATAACAGCGATTTTGAATATGCCAGGAACCAGTAGTTCTACTTCTACACATGAGACTGATCAAAGAAAAGATACAGTTAGTCTTACTATTGCCAAAAAAAGAAAAAATTGTGCAATTTGCCCCTCCGCAAAGCGAATAATGACAAAGAATTGTTGCACCAAGCGCAACAAATCCTTGTGTGGCGAACATAAACTTGACATTTGTCACAAGTGTATTAATTAATACTTTTTTTCTAAACTGTTTCTTTCTTTTGTTGACTTTATTACTTAATTTTAATATTTTAATACTTTTTTAAGTGTCTGTTTCTTTTAGTTCATAAGAATTAAGCATTTAAAAAAAATGTTATGTTCAAATGAGTAAAAACTCAGGTCTGAATTAAAAGAGTGTCAAAGTAATTAAAATGTGATTTTAGTAGATAAAAAACTTATAAACATGTTAACAAATGATTAGTGTAATAAATAAGAAAAACACATATAAATATTTTATTCCATAAATCTTTAAAAGCCTCCCTTTTGTACGGCGTAGCCGAAACGACGAAGGTTAGTAATAAGCGTTGTAAAATAAGGTTAGTAATCTAGGGTTAATAGAAATCTCAACAGAAAGTATTAAATTGTCATTTTATTTGAACAGAGATTGTTCCATCACTACATACATCCCAGTTATTATTGAATAATCAGGAGCGACGCGTTGGATACAATATATGCATCTAGTTATACCACACTCCTATTTAAGACAAGGATATGGAGCAAGACAATGCAATAAGTTGCTAAGCCACGTGGGCCACACCACTTATCAAATAATAGACCACGTGTTTTCTATCAGAACACTAACCTTTAGTTCCTCCGGTAAGTCTGAAAGACATCATAGACCGAATAATTCCAAATATCTCGACTTTCATCAGTGTGTGTACCTTGCCTGTGTTAGGATCGGGTCTTAGAAGTTCTAAGATCTTTCCACGCGATATTACTATCTCCTGCTGCTTAGTACCAGAAAAGTTACCATGCACGGCATGCGTGATGGCCGTAGAGCCTTGGAGAGTTAAATTGTATAGATACATTATTTCAGCAGGCTATATCCATAAGTCCTGTAAATGCATTCACAATATAGATATGTATATATGGACATTCAAAAACGCTACAATACCTCTTATAAAAAAATAAATGTAAAGCTCGTAACTGACGAAAACAGAGATAACAATGTGCTTTCGAATGGGTGAGCCTTAATATGCTATAGCACCGATAAAACGACCATGAACGAGGTAAATGATCGATCATGGAGATACCTAGTGCAAATATACTAAGATTTAAGAAATGTATATAATTTTGAGCATAAAATGTACTTACCAATGTTAAAAATGCGACAGATTGCCGCAATTTAGCTGGATTTTTGTATAATTATTTCAATTTCAGAAACAAGCAACAGTAAAATGGCCGCCGGTGGCCAACGCCGACGCTTCGCACATGACATATCTAAATTAACGAATGAACGACAACTATAGAAGACCGCTACTAGAATGAACCAATCAAAAATAGGCTTAATTTTAATATGGCGTCAGCTTATATAGTAACTGGGTTGCTATTATAAAACTATTAGAGAATGTTATTGAAAGATTCTACTTGATAATAGATGGCGCTATGCGAATGGAATGCGCCATCTATTTACCAAAGCCACTGAATTTGAATGAGGGCTAATAATCTTCCGTTCACCAGATGTCACTAGTCGACACTAAAGTAATTTTTTTGTTACACAATATCATTTAAAGTGGGAAGTTAGTTTTAAATAAAAGTTTATCGGTTTCTAGAGTAATAAATTTATAAACAAAACAATGCCTCAGTGGTTTTCTCCTTAAGTATTTGCACATTTAAAACCCATTTTTCAAATTTTCAATTCACGAATATCTGTGGTTTGTTTTATTTTATAATTAATATAAAATATAACTAAAAATTAACCTTCTCATTTTTCGACAAATTAACTTCCTCGCTATGAAATTTATCAAATATAAATTTTAAGGGACGCCGCCCTGGTGGCAGAAAAATTCGTGAATATCTGTGACAGTAACGCCATTAAGCTTTTCGTGGTCGACAGATGGAGTAATGAAAGCAAATAATGTACCTTATCTTACGGCATAAATTTATAGTGCAATTATGGGAGAAGCCACTGGCTCCAGAAAAACACTTTTACACTAGTTTGGGAGCCTATGGATTCACTGAAATATTTATTGTAATGTTTTATGTCAAATAAAGTTTATTATTTATTTATTTATTTATATTATGGTTGTAGCACGAATGGGTCGGCTCGACCGGCGAGGACCACGCTCTTACAGAATACCAGCATAAAATAGAAGCTTGATGCTGCTGTGTTTCCTATGGTGAGTGTAGGGAACCGAAGATCCCTTTTTTTCAAGGGTGACAACGCATCTGCATTTTGTGTCTTAATTGAGGATAAATTTAGTTGTCTTTGAGCCACAGCATCCACTTACTATCACTGTGCAGTGTGCTCGTTTGTCACCTGGTTCTATATTTTAAAAAAAACCAAAACAGCCAAAGATGTGCATAAATAAGTAAATATATTTATTTTACCACTCCTACCCATCGGTCGAACTTTAACGATAAGATGGTTTTGAATCCTCTTTTATAAATTTGAAAAGCTCGAAGTGTATGAAGAAGCCTTTTAAGATGAAGCCTTCATATATTCTGCGGTCTGTGGTTAATAATAACAATACTACAATTTTAGAAAACTTTTATATAATATGCTATAACAATGTAGTTAATTTTAATGGTAAATATTTAAACGAGTCATTTTAAATTTAAATTCAGAGTTCCAAAAATAATGAATATTGGTTTATTAAAATACTAAGTGAGCGACTTAGGTTATCCTATTGAGTGGCTGACTGATAAACACTAATTTTATTTACTTACCTTTGCTTAAAAGCGGCGAGCAGCATATTATTTGAGCGATATTATCAATAACATCATTATTCTAAGCTTAAAAGCTTAAAGTTTAGTAACCTCAGGATATGTAATTAGTAATTATACTAACAGCAGTGAAGGGTCCAAATAATAACCGTTCTTAAGTGTGTCTAAACATTGCTTTTAGACGTAGAATATTTCAGTGGTGGTGGAAGATTATTTCAGCACTTGGTGTCCCTAGTAATCCGGTCTGATTTTCGAAATAAAATGAATCCGATTTTAGTAATAAAACTATATTCAAAAGCTCTTGTTCTATGAGAAGGTATTTTTAAAATCTTGCAGTAAGCTCGTCTAAAGTTATACGATTAATGAAATTTCTATCATTCTAACTTTTCGTATAGATAGATATGAGAGACCCCATCGTGCTTTTTTTTCGTTACTGTTTTGGAAGTTTCAATTGCAAAAATGAGACCCGTGGACGGTCCGAGCCTAATACCGATAATGAATCGGTGGAAACCATGAGTGCAAGTGGATTTATCGAAACTATGTTGAGTTTGCTGCATTTTGCAACAAGAGTGCCGAAACGATATGTGCATTCATTTAAGTAAAACTGTGAAAAAAAGAGGCTCGGATGGAAGCCAACTAAAAGAAGATTGTCTTTATTTGTTAAATCGGCACACTGAAGATAATATTCTAAATAGGATTGGCACTTATTCGCAATGGTTGCATCTTTTCGATCAATGTCCCAAACGCAAAATGTGTCAATGAAATTTGGTTCTGAGTATCTAGCATGGGAGGTATGGTAAGAATTATTCATTGCAACTTCTGGATATCTGACACAAAAATTAATGCAAGCGTATTATCAACCATTATTCACAGAATTGCGAACGGAGATGGACAAACTCGCTATAAAATAAGTGTGACTTTTCAGGATCAAGATCTCGATTATCATTATCTTGAGGAATGTGAATGCACGAATAGGTTATACAGCACGACGAAATGTTTCGAAATTACATGAACTACAACTGGAAGCTCTTCTTCATTATTAATTATACTCGCAATCTCGCATACGGGAAGAGGATTTCCATTAAAAATATCTTTGGAATTCTATAGTGGAGGCATAAATGAACTTCAATTAAAATGCAAAAGTGCTTTATTAAATTATTTAAATATGTATACAATTTGTATTAAAATAGTTTGAATTTTTCTAAATAAAACGGAAATTATTTAATTATAAATGGGATTATTGTTGAACATTGAAAAAGCTCTACCTATTGTGGTTCGAGTAATTCTATTTTCTGTTCGTGTGGAGCGGCGCGCCTTCACAATGTATCCGTTTTGTGGCGCAGCGCAGGCACCTGAGTATTCGGACCCATTTCACTTTAAGTCGCCGCGTTCTTTATTGGATCATCCGTCAACAAGAAATTCAATGCGTGTTTCATTATTGTCGAACAATAACTGTGCTTGGGTAGCTTTACCATGGGATACGTACACAATAAACATATTTGTACAATATTTAAAGACGCTTAGTGACTAAATTGTTTATGTTGCTATTTTGTTTCAAGTGCGGATATATAAATTTGATAGAAAAGTGTACCTATTGAGTTTCTTCATTTTCAACTTTATATTTTTTGACTTTTAATATTATGTTTTTTGCTTTTTGTTTGTTTACGATCTCATTATAATTTACTTTTATTTCAATCATATTTTATTTTATGACTTTTCGTAAATAATGTCGCCAACTTACATTTATTCATTTCGCATGAAACACCATCCAATTTAATAATAAATAGCTAAAACACTCATAAGCAGGAATATAGCAGATCTAGATCAAGAGTTTATTTTTTAATAAGATAAACGAACAAACAGATCACCTGATGGTAATTGGTTACTGTAGCCCATAGACATCTACATCTATCCTCGATTAAGAATCAAAATGTAGATGTGTTGTCACCCGTGAGGAATAAGATGGAATTCCTCGTTTCCAGTGAAAAAAGTATCCGGTCTACATTCACCATACGAAACACAGCAGCATTAAGCCGCTATTTTAGGTTGGTATTCTGTGAGAGCGTGGTCTTTCCCCGGTCTAGCCGACCTATAATATAGTTGCTACAACTATAATATAGCCGCAGCAAGGCCAAAATCCAAGAAACAAAATATTTAATTATTAAAATATGTACTAATCTCTTTCTGTTTTATAATTATGTAGAAGGTAGGAATTGTCGCTATCGCCACGACTAACGTCCTGGGCGACAAATAGTGACTTGTTAGAAGTGCTATTTTTTTTTGATTTTGTGTTACTCTTTTTCATTTGTCATTAAGCTGCTGGATGAAGGTCTCTCCCACGGGAATACCAGAGTCAAATAGTAGCTTAGTGCTGCTGTGTTTCGTATGGTGAGTTTAGAGAACCGGGGACCCTTTTTACTGGAAAATCTGTGAACGAGACTTTGTGCTCGTTTGTTACCCTATCATATAAAAAAAGGATTGCCATTATCGCTACGTTTGACAGGGAATTGTTGATAGCAGTAACAGATGTGTCGTACTTCGCGGTCGCCGGTCTGGGTATTTTAGATTGTGGTAGGCAGGATGGTGACTGTTCAGTGCGTTGTGGCGATTGAGTCACAAATGTTTGGTTCCGGCGCGTGTCATTGTCTGTAATGTTTTGTTAAACAGTTTCGAGGAACCTATGAACGTAATGATTTATAACAGACACCATGTTTATTGAACATCGTCTTCTTCGATTTGTTAATATAAACTTCGTTTATGTATATAATGACTTGCTTTTATATACCGTATATAATTGCTTTTAAATACCTATAATTATTATAATAATTAATTTGGGCCCAATTATTGCGGTATTACCTTCGACGAAGTCGTTATAATGTAAACCAAAACAAGGTCAGCAAAGACTATCATGCCATTTTATTTCTATCTTATCAGGTTCTATTATTCTAACTGATTTTATTTGTATGGGTGGTGAAGATATATC